CCACATCTGTCCCCCAGCACCCCAGCTTGTGTCCCCGGGGCCCTCCCAGGACCTCCAGGAGTTGTCACTTCCTTCTGCTCAGCACCCTCTGGACACAGTCTTGCTCCCTTGCACCTACATCAGCTGACATCATCTCATATCTGGCTGATGGCCCCTCCCCAGGCCAAGTCCACGCAAAGCACAGGTTTAGCACTGTCCCCTCCCCACCACCTTTCCCCTCCCCTGCCCATCTCAGGTGTTCTGGGGTAGAGATGGGAAATAGAGACCCGCCCCCAACACCAGTGACATTCCCTTTCTTGTCCCCCTCCCTCACCCCGTCACCTCTTTCCTGTGCCCTATCACTTGTCCTTCCTCTAGCCCCATTCCCTAATGCCCTCCTCCCACTCCCTATCTACTTCCCACCAACCCTCGACCTTGCCTCCTACCTTGAGGTCAATATTGGCTGAAAATTCCCCATCCAGGCCATGAATAGACCGGTTGAGGGAGTCATAGGTCTGCCCAAAGTTGCCCTCCACTGGGATGCGATTGCGGCACCAAACCTCCATCACTGGCGGACAGTGGGCAGGGTCAGGGGCCTCCCAGGTGCAGGCCTGGCTGGCCTGCCTGTCCTCCTGTGGTCCTCCCAGCCCTCCTTTTTTGTCTGATCATGGCTTGCTACCACACCAACACCACGTCTTCCCCTCTCTGCTCTCTTCGGATCCTGCCCTCCAGGAACCAGGCCTGAGTTCTCCTATTTTATTCACCTGTCCTCAGCCATAGCAAACATCAGTAAGAACAGCTGGCGTTTACAGAGCAGCTCCTCTGTGAGCCAGCTCTGCCACTGCCTTCACATACGTCAGCCCCAGAAATCCTCAAAAGCCCTCAATGCGGCCGGACGTGGTGGCTCACACCTGTAATCCCAGCACTCAGAGGCCGAGGTGGGCGGATCACCTGAGGTTAGGAGCTCAAGACCAGCTTGGTCAACGTGGTGAAACCCCGTCTCTACTAAAAATACAAAAATTAGCCAGGTGTGGTGGCGAGCGCCCGTAATCCCAGTTACTCTGGAGGCTGAGGCGGGAGAATCACTTGAACCCGGGAGGCAGAGTGTTGCAGTGAGCTGAGATTGTGCCATTGCACTCCAGCCTGGGTGACGAGAATAAAACACCCATCTCAAACAAACAAAAAAACCCTAAAGCAAGTACTGCTGTTATAATGCCCATCTTTCAGACAAAGACACACAGCTCAGAGCTTTGCTGTAACTTACCCTGGGTCACAGAGCCCATCAGCAGATGGGCCGGGCTCTGAGGGTGCTGTGGCCTCAGAACCGAAACCCTCCCACCTGTTGCTTTCCTGCCTGTCACCTACCAGTGGGTCCCCAGGACTCAGCTCCCTACCCCTGATGCTCCCCACCCCCTTGCCACTGTGCAGACCCTTGGCAATGCCACAGAAGAACTTGAACTTCATAGGCAGGCAGAGCAGGTGGCTGAGGAGCGGGACCCAGATGTGCTTCATGCACTGTTCATGCTTGCGGTCAAACCAGCGATGGCAGCTGAGAATGGCCTGGCTCACCACATCTGCAGGGAGGAGCAGGGGGCTGAGGTCCCCACAGCCTGATCCACAACACTGGCCCCACATCCCACTGGAGAGGGTATCCCCTCCCCAGGGATACCCCTCACAGGAGCAGCGCAGCTTGGTCTTCAGCTCATACATCTTCTGTGTTGACAGGTGGAGTCTGGAGGCTGGGGCTTGGCGGGCCTCCCTGCCCTGGGCTGTCTGTCCTGACTCCACAGCCTCCTCAGGCGTGTAGCCTGTCTCGCTATTTACCTGGGCATCCAAGTCCTTGAATGTGGTGGAGATGTTCTGAGTCTCAGCTCTCAGCAATTCTTTGCTGCTCTGGGATTGGAGGTGGAGGGAGGAAAGGGTGAGGGCTGGGGCTTTAGAGCTTCTGCTGCCTGAGGGCCTGTCCTCCCCCAGTAGCCCAGCTTTGGGCTCTCAATCCAGGCCTTCAGGGAATCTAGGCCCTGAGACACAGCCTCTCACCTCAAATTCCCGGCTGTCCATTGCCCTTGGAAGCCCCACTCTCCCCAGCTGCCTGCTCTGATGCCACATGTCCTGGCCCTGGGTACCTCCCAGACTCCCAGCTCCTCCTCAGTCTTCCCATCCCAGACCCTTCCTGGTCAGTGGTTCCCCAGGTCCTTAGACCTCACCCTTCACCACTGATCTCTGAGATCATTATGCCATCCGAATACCTCCAACTTCCAAACCCCTCAGCCCCCATTTCCCCAACTCTCCAGCTCCCCCAACTCTCCCAAACCCTCAATCTCCAGCCCTCCAATACCCAATTCTTGAATCCTCTTCTTCAAAACTTCTGAGCTACTCAAGGCCAAGACCCCCAGATTTCATAGATATTCTAGTTCAGCTGTCCAGAGTGCTGACCACCCAGGTATTTGGAAATGCGTACAGAGCCTGTCCCAGTGACTCGGGCTCTCCTGGCATTTCATGTCCCAGGACCGGGGCACATTCTGCAACGCTTGGGAATGGCTCTGCAAAAAACGCCAGTAGTATCCACATTGGGAAACTATAAATCAGGGTGACAACTCCTAGCTCAACTTAACTCGGCCCCGGGAAACCCCCCAGGCCCTGCCTGTGCAGATTCCTGACCAGCAGGTCCTTGAACACGGCCCGTAGGGGGGCTGTGGAGACACGCCAAGCTGCTCGGGTGTTGTTGATCTGCAGCTCCACGGTGCAGCCCAGCGATGCGATCACGTCGTTGAGATTGTGCCGGAGGTTGGCCACTGGCCCTGTAGAAAGAGGCCCTGGTGGGTCACCTCCCTACTCCCTGTAGAACCGGCACTTCCTCAGACCCACTCAGCTCCCCTCTGCATGTGGTGCTCATCGCCAAGAACCATACAGTGGTGGGGCTGAGAAGTTACGAGAGCCCATCTTGTTCACTCTTGATTTTTTCACTTTTTTTTTTTTTTTTGAGATGGAATCTCGCTCTGTCGCCCAGGCTGAGTGCAATGGTATAATCTCGGCTAACTGCAGCCTCTGCCTTCTGGGATCAAGCGATTCTCCTGTCTCAGCATCCCAAATAGCTGGGACCATAGGTGTGCACTACCACGCCTGGCTAATTTTTGCATTTTTAGTAGAGATGGGGTTTCACCACGCTGGCCAGGCTGGTCTCGAACTCCTGATCTCAGGTGACCCACCCACGTCGGCCTCCCAAAGTGTTGGGATTACGGGCATGAGCCACTGCACCTGGCCAATTTTTTCACTCTTATAAACTAAGGAGGCCCAGATATGGGGAGGAGCTCCCTCAGGCACACACAGCCAGATGGTGCAGCTGGGATGACACCCCTACCTTTTCTCCTTCACCCGGCCTGGCACCCATTGGAGGGCCCTCCCAGGGACACTACTTCAGGGTCACTCACCCACCTCCACATACTCACCCATATAGATGGCAGCCAAGGCGTATCCCAAGACAAAGAGCCTGCCTTCCTTGCCCAGCATCTTGGGTACTAGCAGGAGGCTGGCACAGCGGATGTGAGGGGAGGTCCCCCAGCCCATGGCCCCCAAGCCTGTCAGGAGAGCCCAGGAGGTGGTGAGTTGAAGTGAGGAAACTGCCTCACCTCCTCATGTTTACCAAAGCACCCACCTGCAACACTGCGTTCTGGAACCCCCACCATCCTGCCCTTGTCCCCATTCCCACTGACTCTGATAGACCTGGTGAGCCACTCACTCATTCATTCAGTGGCCACTTACAGAGTTCAACTGTATGCCGGTCTCTGGAAGGGCGTGGAGGGATGGCTTGAACTTAAAAAGCTGCAAGTGACTGGCTGTGTGTGTGTGTGTGTGTTAGGAAAGGGAGCCAGTGTTTCCCTAGCTACAGTCACACTGACCCTAGGCACTGAGGGAGCAGAGAGAACAAGGGAAAAACTCTGGAAACAAGCTTGCAGGCTCAGAGTGGTCAGAAGAGAGATCAGAGCCCCCCTCAGTATTCCCAGTGCTGAGACACCTACAGCGCTCACCGTCCCTGCCTCTAATTTTAGCCCTTAGTCATGTACCACCGGTATGTTTTAGCAGTTTCACATGTGTCTCCCTGTGGTCTCTGCAAGGAGACGGTGAGCTCCTGGAAGCTCATAATCCAGAGAGAGAGACGGATGAGTAAACAAATGACTGCAACACAATGTGCTAAGTGCACAAGGGAGGTGCTCATAGAGCGCTGTGGAGCCAAGGAGCGAGTGGGAGTTTCTGCAGGGAGGGGTGGGGCTGGGCTGAGAAGGCTGGACAAAGAGAGGATGTGTCAGCTGGGCCTGGAAGGTGAGTAAGTGTCCTTAGGAGGTGCAGGTGACATTCCCGGCCAAAGGAGCAGTATAAGTGGTCCGGGGAGCTAGAAGAGTCCTGTGTTGATGGACCATTCAACCAATGATCGTCAGAGCAAATCCCAAATCCTTACACTCCCTCCATCTGCACTGTCCTGGTAGAGTCCCCATCATCTCTTATTGGGGCGATAACCTAACGAGTCTCCCTATGTCCTCTGTTGCTACCTTACACTTCCGTTTTCACAAGGCAGCCAGAGTGATCTTGCAAAAGCATAAGTCGGATTTTATCCCTTCCCTGCTTCAAACCATTTGGTGGCTTTCTACCACCTTTGGCAGAAAATCTAAACTCCCTAACATGGTCTACCCACCTCATGAGCTGGCTCCTGCCTGCCTTCTGATATGCTACGCAGCCCTCCGCCTACCACGTCTACCCACACAGACCTCGTTGCTGCTCCTTGCACGAGCCAAGTTCATTCCTTCTCCCTGGTCTTTGCCCTAGCTGTCCCCTGCCAGGAGCACTCCTCCCCCTGTTCTTCACATGGCTGGCTCCACCTAGTCATACAGGTTTGTGGCAAACCCTGTTGGGTGCCACCCCACAGTTTTTTTCTGCCTTCTTCTTTGCTAACACAACTTGGGTTTTTTTCAAGGGCAATAGCCTGGCCCTGCCCCAGCCCCTGAGGGGTAAATCTGGATCTGTCTAAACCAATCATGGAAGAACAGGACATTGAAAGGGACTGGTTCTGTGGTCTTGGCCTTCTGGCCAAAGACTCGAGCTGAAGCCAATAGGTGACAAATAGTTGCCCTATGTTCTAATGAGAGGCCATGGAGCTGCAGGTGTCTTCTTTGGGCTCACCAAAAGAGCCACTCCTCCATCCCACCCCGTCTATATAAGAAAAAACAAACAAACAAACAAAAAAACAGCAATACGGGCCGGGTATGTGGCTCATGTCTGTAATCCCAGCACTTTGGGAGGCCAAGGCAGATCGCTTGAAGTCAGGAGTTCAAGACCAGCCTGGCCAACATGGCAAAACCCTGTCTCAACTAAAAATACAAAAATTAGCCAGGCATGGTGGCAGGCACCTGTAGTCCCACTACTCAGGAGGTTGAGACAGGGGAATTGCTTGAAACTGGGAAGCGAAGTTTGCAGTGAGCCGAGATCGTGCCACTCCACTCCAGCCTAGGTAGCAGAGCAAGACTTCGTCTCAGGAAAAAAAAAAAAAAAAAAAAGAAGATCAGCAATGTGGATTTTCTGGAAGTGGAGAAAAGCGGTTGGAATGGGCAGGCAGAGAGGGAGAGTCTGTGGAGCGGATGCGTGTCACATGTCAAGTGAGAGACTCCAGGAGTCAAGACACTTCAGGAACTGGCGCTGCAGGAAGGGGAACCTGCTTCGTCTCTCCTAGACTGGACTCCTGCTGAGTTGCAGAACCTCCTGAGGCCACTTTAGGGCTGCCACCGGAGCACAGAGTAGAGGGAAAGCTCCTGGGAGAGCACAGCCTCTGTAAGGCTGCTGTAAGACCTCCCCTGGACAATGGGGGCACACAAGCATGGAGACTGGTATCTGCTTCTCATCAGGAGGAGAAAGGCAGCCGTAAGCTGCCCTATTTTCTCTGCCTGGCAGGGCATGGACGTGTGCACTCCCAGCCTGCTGGAGGGAGGGATCCAAAAAGTGAGAGGCTATGGGTGGCCCCTGAGGGGGTCTTCACTTGAGGTCAGCCAAAAAGAACTGCCCTCTGCAGGAAACTGGTCATTGCCGAGGTCCACACACAGCCTTCAAGGGGACAGTAATCAGGCCCACGGGGACAGTCAGGGTGTGAGCGCCTGCTGCATGCAGGCACCCTCAGTGGAATTGTAACAGCATTGGTGACTTAAGACTTTTGGCCTTTTTCCTCTAATTCTTCTAATCCCCCTTCTGACATCAGAAGAACCAGAAAGGGAAGGAAGTGGAGGAAAAAAGGGAAAGAGCAGGCCACACCCCTTCTCCACTGCAGGACCCCATGCCAGGGAGCAAGACACAGCCCTTCTCCACTGCAGGACCCCATGCCAGGGAGCAAGACACAGCCCTTCTCCACCTCAGGACCCCATGCCAGGGAGCAAGACACACCCCTTCTCCACCTCAGGACCCCATGCCAGGGAGCAAGACACACCCCTTCTCCACCTCAGGACCCCATGCCAGGGAGCAGTCCATGCCCCTTCTCCACTGCAGGACCCCATGCCAGGAAACAGGCCACGCCCCTTCTCCACCGCAGGACCCCATGCCCAGGAGGAGGCCTGAGCTGGGGCCCAAGGGGAGGGGGAGGGCAAGATGAGGAGGGAAGATGTGCAGATAGATGTGAGGTTAAAAGTGTGATGTAGAGTGGCCTGGACCTCTTAACCCCTAAACGTAAGTCTTAATTACTGAAGTAGGGCTAGGTCTTCTAAAGAAATGCAACCAGAAATCTAAGGGTCTGTGTGAAAGGTTATCAATGGAAAAAAAAAAAAACATGTTTGAATGCAGTGGGTCAGAGAAAAGCAGTCTTCTGTTGGTATGCAGCAGGATGAATTCAATAAACAGGTGATGAAATGTTAATTCCACCTCCCTTGCCTGGGATAGGTTCAGGAAAGGGCATGTGTTGCACGCAGTTCTGACCAGAGATGTGAGGAAGTCTACTGTGGGGATTACAGGCAAGTTTCCCTTGTTCCTTAAAAGGGACATGAGGAAAGGATGTTTCTTCCTCTTTTCTTTTTTTTTTTTTTTTTGAGACAGAGTCTCACTCTGTCACCCAGGACATTTTCCTTTTTCCCTGGCCTGAAATCACACAGCCCGAGACAATGAAGTTGGGCCTGGGATTGAACTTCTATTCTTTTTTTCTTTTTTTTGAGACGGAGTCTTGCTCTTGTCACCCAGGCTCTGGAGTGCAGTGGTGCAATCTCCACTTACTGCAACCTCTGCCTCCTGGGTTGAAGCGATCCTCCTGCCTCAGCCTCCCAAGAAGCTGGGACTACAGGCGTGCACCACCATGCCCGACTAAGTTTTGTATTTTTAGTGGAGACGGGATTTCACCATGTTGGCCAGGCTGGTCTTGAACTTCTGACCTCAAGTGATCTGCCCGCCTTGGCCTCCCAAAATGCTGGGATTACAGGAATGAGCCATTGTGCCTGGCCTGTTTCTTCCTCTTTTTTTCTGAGCTTTGACATTGTTCTATGAAGATGCGATGCCGGAGTTGCTACAGCTATTTGTGACCTGAAGGGGAGTGGTCAATAGGCTGAAGATGGCACAGAAAAGGCAGAAGGAACCTGACTCCTTCTTGAGGCTACTGAGCTGTTAAAATCCTAACTGGGCTGGGCCTGGTGGCCCACACCTGTAATCCCAGCACTTTGGGAGGCTGAGGTGGGCAAATCACCTCAGGTCAGGAGTTCAAGATCAGCCTGGCCAACAAAGTAAAACGCTGTCTCTACTAAAAGTAAAAAAAATTAGCTGGTTATTGTGGCAGGTACCTGTAACCTCAGGTACTTGCAAGGCTGAGGCAGGATAATCACTTGAGCCCAGGAGGTAGAGGTTGCAGTGAGCCCAGATCATGCCACTGCCTGGGCGACAGAGTGAGACTCTGTCTCAAAAAAAGAGCCTGAGTAAGGTGGTTCATGCCTGTAATCTCAGCACCTTGGGAGGCCGAGATGGGTGGATCACCGGAGGTCAGGAGTTAGAGACCTGTCTGGTCAACATACTGAAACCTCATTTCTACTAAAAATACAAAAATTAGCTGGGTGTGGTGGTGGGCACCTGTAATCCCAACTACTTGGGAGGCTGAGGGAGAAGAATAACTTGAACTCGGGAGGTGGAGGTTGCAGTGAGCTGAGATCAAGCCACAGCACTCCAGCCTGGCGACAGAATAAGACTCCATCTCAAAACAAAAGGGCTAGGTGCTTGTTATTCTTGTTCACTGCTAAATCCTCAGCAGATTCTCAGTAAGTGCTGGATGGATGAATGAATGAATTGAATTTCTTAGGAGGATCAGAACACGAGGTCAGACAGATCAGTAGAGATGAGGGTTGTGAAGGGTAATGGGTTTGGACTATATCATGTGGGTGATGGGGAGTCCCTCGGAATGAAGACACTCCCTCAGAGCAAGGACTGTGTCTTCCTTCTTAACCTGGGGGCCTCTTCCCTCTGGACCTCCTCCTAAAGCCCAGGAGGAGGCCGAAGCCACAGGGGCTGCATGGGTACAGAAGAAACAGGCCCCGACTCCTTCCCGGGCCTGCAGGATGGCGCTGTGTTCCACAGGCCGCTTGAGTGTCTCTGGCCTTTGCCCAGCACTAACCCACCAAGCTGTACAAAAACATCATCTTCTGCTCTTCATAGATGTTCATGGGGTTCACCAGGAGCTGAAAGAGACCTAAGGGCACAAGGTCAAGCCAAAGGCCAAAAGATGGGTCCTAGCCCTGATCCAGCCTCTGCCCACCCCGACTTTCTGCTTCCACACTCACCTATGGCCAGGAGCCCCCCAGCGCCTGCCCCTAGCAGGAAAGCAGTGACAGGAAACTCGCCCGGCTGGCGCCACAGGAACCGGCTGCAGGAGACTGGCAGCCCCCAGCTCAGGAGCCTCTGCACCGCTGAGGGGGGACAGAGTAGCTCAATAGCCCACTCTCCCACCTGGGATGGGCTCGTGAGGACTCGGGGATTGCAGGTGGATGGAGGCTGGGGGAAGCTGGCAGGTGGCAGTAGGAACTTGGGGGACCCTGCAGGAGGATGAGGGAGCCTGAGGATAGATTGGGTGTAAGGGATAGACGAGGAAAGGGCTGGGCTGGGGGGCAGGGGGCACTAGACCTGAGAGGTGGGGGCTGGACACTGAGCTGGGGGACAGTGTGCGGGATTCCAGGAGAGCTGGGATGAGAGTGGACGCCGAGGGATGCCAGGTCTCTGCTGAGTGACTCACTGGTATGAGGCTGTTTTCTTCTTTGCCCTCTTGCCCCATTCTCATGATGTTGAATGTCCATGAGTCAGTTTTGGGGAAGTGCCGCTCATCCCAGAAGTCTCCTTAAGGTTCTGATGAGAGAAGAGGGGGCCGCCTGTCGCTTCTGCCTCAGAGGAAGCCTAGGCCTGTGCTCTGGGCCTTTGAACCCTGCCGCTCTGCTCCCAGAAGTGGGGAAGGAGATTAGACACCTACCTACCCCCGCTCCCGTCCTCGGAACTGGGTCAGGGATTCCAAGACACATGCAGTGAAAGCCCTCGGAACCTTAGAATGTGGTGAGAAATTCCAGGAGCACGGAAGTCAGCGGGCTTCTCCTGGAGACAGGCCGACATTTGGTCTCAGCAACCATGTCCAACGTCACGAAGGATATTGCGCACCCCTCGGCGGGAGAGGAGCCTAGCATGGCGAGAGCTGTGGTTCGCAGCGTTGGAGGCTTTACTCTGGGCTTGTCTTTGGCCACGGCCTACGGGCTTCTGGAGCTCCTGGTGGAAGGGCACAGCCCCTGGGGCTGCCTGGTGGGCACCCTCACTTTGGCTGCCTTCCTTAGCCTGGGCATGGGATTCTCCCGCCAGGTCCGAGCCACTGTCCTCCTGCTGCTGCCCCAGGCCTTCTCCAGTGAGCCTGGCACCCAGGGCTGGGGGGCAGGTCCTGGGGCTGGTGCTGGGGCAGGAGAGATGCTGGGGGAGAGTTAAGGGAAATATTCCAGAGGCTTATGTATGGGACCTGCTGCCATGTTTGGGGCCGGGGTCTTGGTTCTGATGGAGCTGTCGCCCCCAGGGCAGGGCCGGACACTACTGTTCGTGGCTGCCTTTGGGTTGGTGCTTCAAGGGCCTTGTGCCAACACTCTCCGCAACTTCACCCGGGCCAGCGAGGCTGTAGCCTGTGGGGCAGAGCTGGCACTGAACCAGACCGCCGAAGTGCTGCAGCGGGCCAAGCAGCCCCTTGTCAGTAAGTCCCCCACCCCCACCGCTGTCTCCCTCTGGCCCCCCACCCCCTTCATCCTGCATGTCCTATAGTCCTTTGGCCCCCTTCTCTGCTGGTGCTAATTGCAGAGCATCTGGGCCTGACAGGGACTCTGGGCACAACAACACCCTCTCTCCTTGCTCTCTGGCCTCCTCCACTGCCAGATGAACTATCTCCCAGGCCCCAGAATCCAGGCTCCCCACCTCTGGAACGGCGGCCCCCTCTCTACTCCCTGCCTAAGGGGCAATGGTGAGAACCAGCCCCTAGAGGAGGAGACACCACAGCGCCTCTGTCCCTTGCCCCTCAGGTGCCCTGAACAAGATTAAAGCTATTGCCCAGAAGACCAAAGAAGTGGCTGACCGGGTCCGCAAGTTCTTTCGGTCAATCATGGATGGTGTGAAACATGTAGGTAAGCACATTAGCATGTCTAGTCCTGGGGACTCAAAATGCACCCGGGTGCAGTGGCTCACGCCTGTAATCCCAGCACTTTGGGAGGCCAAGGTAGGAGGATCGGTTGAGCCCAGGAATTTGAGACCAGCCTGGGCAACATGGCAAGACCCCGTCTCTATAAAAAATTTACAAAAAATAAATAATAAATAAAACTAGCCAGGTGTCAGGCTGGGCGTGGTGGCTCATGCCTGTAATCCTAGCACTCTGGGAGACTGAGGTGGGTGGATCACCTGAGGTCAGGAGTTCAAGACCAGCCTGGCCATCTTGGTGAAACCCCATCTTTAAAAAAAAAAAAAAAAGTCTTCCCTTTTGTGGCCATCACCTAAGCGGGAGCTGCCAAAATGAAGTTCAATCCCTCTGTGACTTCCAACGGAAGCAAGAATTGCAAAAGGCATTTCAATGCACCTTTCCACATTCGCAGGAAGATTATGTCCTCCCCTCTTTCCAAAGAGCTGAGACAGAAGTACAATGTGCGATTCAAGCCCATCCGAATGCATGATGAAGTTCAGGTTGTACGAGGACACTATGAAGGTCAGCAGATTGGCAAAGTAGTCCAGGTTTACAGGAAGAAATATGTAATCTACATTGAACGGGTGCAGCGGGAAAAGGCTAATGGCACAACTGTCCACGTAGGCATTCACCCCAGCAAGGTGGTTATCACTAGGCTAAAACTTGACAAAGACCTCAAAAAGATCCTTGAACGGAAAGCCAAATCTCGCCAAGTAGGAAAGGAAAAGGGCAAATACAAGGAAGAAACAATTGAGAAGATGCAGGAATAAAGTAATCTTATGTACAAGCTTTGATTAAAACTTGAAACGAGGAAAAAAAAAAAAAACCAGCCAGGTGTAATGGCGCATGTCTGTAGTCCCAGCTATTGAGGAGGCTGTGGTGGAAAGATCTCTTGAACCCAGGAGTTTGAGGCTGCAGTGAGCTGTTATCGTGCCACTGTACTCCAATCCAGCCTGGGTGACAGAGTGAGACTCTATCTCTAAAGAAAAAAAAAAGAAGCTGGTCATGGTGGTTTATGCCTATAATCCCGGCACTTTGGGAGGCTGACGTAGGTGGATCACCTGAGGTCAGGAGTTCGAGACCAGCCTGGCCAACATGATGAAACCCCGTCTCTACTTAAAAATACAAAAATTGGCCGGGTGTAGTGGCTCATGCCTGTAGTCCCAGCTATTTGGGAGGCTGAGGCAAGAGAATTATTTGAACCCAGTAGGCGGAGGTTGCGGTGAGCCAAGGTCATGCCATTGTACTCTAGCCTGGGCAAAAAGAGCAGAACTCCATCTCAAAAAAAAGAAATTCAGTTTCCTCACCTGTATCCCTGTCCAAGCCTCTTCAGGCCCCTCCTGGGTGCTGGCTAGTGCTCACTGGATACAGCACAGCCAGCACAGGCCTCTCCAGCCCTGGGGTTGTGAGAAGAGGCTGTAGGATTCCAGCTCGGGGTGCCCACCTGCATCTGTCCCCAGCCAGGGCTCTCCGGAATGTGTGGCAGTGGCTCCTGCATGTCGGGGACGTGTGCAACGCGGAGCTGGGCAACCCTTACCTGAAGTGTGCGCGGGTCTTTGATGACGCCAAGGACAGCTGCATGCAGGTCATACCGCAAGCCTACCATCTGTGTTACGTGCTCATGCCCTTCAAACTGGCGCTCTGTGGACTTGCCAGCTGTGAGAAAGCCAGGGCCCGCTATCGGGGAGGGGCTGATGTGAGGTGGGGTAGGGAGGGAATGTGGGGGTCAGTTGGGAGGACAGGCCCAGGAGGACCATTAGGGGGCAACAGAGAGGAACCCATAAAGATGATGGCACCAGTATTGGGGGTGGGGTGGGCAGTAGGGAGGGACAGGTGTTGGGAGAGAGGGGCCACAGGGAAGTGCTACAAGGTTTTGGGCAAATGTGGAGGCCAATAGGAAAATAGAAATTCAAGAGGCCCTGTGAGAAGAGGTCTTCAGAGGTGGAGGGGCAGGTCCGGCTGTGCCCCTCCTTCGGACACTCATTGGATTCTGCCCATCAGTGGTCCAGGTGTTCTGTGTCATCCCCAAATACCTTCAACCCTTCTTGCGCCAGACCATCGGCACCCGTGAGTGATTCCCTCCTCCCACACATGGTGCTCCCTAGTGGTCTCCCTCCCTCATCCCCGTGTGGCCATGGCCAGCCCCCAGTGATCCCAGCCCATAAAGGAGAATGTAAGAGAAAGAAAGGGGCTCAGAAGATTATCCAGGCCCATATCCATGCTGTACAGATCAGGAAACTGAGGTCCAGCCAAGGGCCAGTACCTCACCATGCCTGCCCCCAGAGCAGGAGCTGCGAACAGAACCAGGGGCTCCTGTCCACATTCAGGTCATCGAACTCTTTCCTTTGGGGCATCTGTTGCATGCCCGGTGTCATGCTGGGTGCTGAGCATGTGGTGGCAATGGCACAGATATGTGGAGGCTTTGTCCTTCTCCTCAGTCCACCTTGACCTAAGCACTGGGGGGTCCCAGCTGGTCTGTGAGCTGCGCGTCCCTTGGGCCATGCCAGGCCCCTCCCCAGGTGCAGCTCCACCCTTCCCTAACTCTCCTTGCCCACGTCTCCCCTGAATCTGCTGGCCCCAGCTGTGATTCAGTTGCTCAACCGCGTGCGTCAGGAGTTTGAGTTCAACATTACAGCCACCCACCACTTCTCTGTGGATCTCAGTGCCTCTCGGAGCCTGTCGCAGGTAGCCATGGACCTCCAGGAGGCTGTCAGCATGAAGCTGCACCGCATCCGAGAGGCCTTGGCTCTGATGGGTTTCACCACGCCTCTGCTGCTTGTGCTTCTCTACCTCCAGTGAGGGGCTGCCGGGCGGCGTGGGGTGCAGGGCCAGGGCTGCAGGGGGAGCCTCCCTCCCCCCCCCACCGCCCCGGGCATCGGGAGAAGCTGACGTTGCTGGGTTGGAGAGGGGACACCCTGTGCGGTCTGGTGGCCCAGGGAGCTAAAGGGCCTCACATGTGCTCCACCTCCGTTTCCCAGAGCCCTATTTTACCGGTACTGTTACCTGAACTGGGACCATTACGACAATATCTACATCACCAGCCGGTTCCTGCGCATGGAGTCTGTGCGCTCGTCGGCTGGGCTGCCCACGGTGCTACCGCTCAGTGCTCACGAGGCCAGGCGCTACATCCCGCCGGGTGAGGGCCCTGAGGACAGGGGGAACCCGGCTCAGGGAGCCCAGGGCTTCCGCCCACCCTGCTGCCCTGCAGGGCCAGAGGGAGGAAACATAACCCAGAGCTTAAGGAACTTTCAGGCTGATGGGAGACACTGGCCAGTCCTTGGGGAGCCTGCAATCTGAAAGCGGAACATAGACACCCTTGGAGAAAGTAGCCAGAGACAGGAGGGGCAGATGGTGCTTCGGAGAGCACCCTGGACGTCAGGACAGCAGGGGGTGGACACAGTGAGGGAAGTCACTTCCGGGGTGGGCAGGAAGCGTGAATGTGCTAATATGGAGGGGGAGGACTGCCTGTGAGGCAGGGAAGCGGGCAAGGGGACGAGGGATGCCCTAGGAGGGAGGGCTCCTGAGTCTGGAATGGGCCACAGGCCAGGTGAAGATGCTAGGCAGGCCCCTCCCCTCTAGCCACGGAGCCCCCTGCCCTGAAGAGTGTTTCCTCACAACTTCTTTTCCTTTCCGTATTCTCGATGAGCTGACAGGCCCGAGACTGATCAGGGGCAGGAGGCCTCTCTAAGAACTGGGGTCTAGTGGACGGGAGAACTGGGGAGCATCCTTCTGACCATCCCACTTCCGCTCAGGATCCATCTTCCTGTCCCAATGGGAGAAGTTTTTTTGCATTCTGGAGACCTTCAACCTTATCCGACACCTCCTTCTCGTGCTGTTCCTAGTCTTCCTAGACTATGCCGTCTTCTGGGTGCTTGACCTGGCCCGGCACCAGCTGCAGGGGGAGCTTGTGGCCCGCAGTGAGTGCCTGCATGACAGCCTCCTCCCACTCACCCACTGGAGCCCCTTGGCCTGCCC